TGTTTGTTTGTTTGTTTGTTTGTTTGCTTGTTTGTTTGTTTCTTGTGGAGGCAGGGCCTTAGTAAGGAGCACTCATACAGCCCTTTGCATCAAAAATTCCTGGTGACGTGAAAGAACAGGAAACTTTAAACAAGAAAGGTTATATCAAAAACCCGGTCAGAAAATAATCACTTAAAAATACTGAAACATGCGTTTCGCTATAGGTTATTTCTGTTGATCGTGAGGTTAGTGTCACATGGGCCAATCACTACAGAGTAAAACGACAAGGTATGTAATAATAATCGCCTCAATAAACAATGGAGAAGAAGAGAAGTTCTGTGTTTTCTTGTTTTCTTGACTCGAACGACGCAACACGAAACTCGATGCTAGAAGTCTTCGAGTCTCGAGGATCGATGATCGCGTCGTTCGAGTTTCGAATGACTGTCAATTTACATTTGACCGGTGCTGTACTACCCACTATTCTCTAATTCCATTGTGTTCGTTTGTCTCAAGAGCGGTTTCATGAGGGTCATCGTAGTCATCCTAGACTGCTACCTGGGGTAGTGAGCGTTTAACAAATTTTTTAACGTTGTAGTCGTATAGATAGCTTTAAAATTGTTCATTTCTCATCTCCTTGTTTAGATTCGAACTCGTGTGACTGTTGTCCAAGTCCTGGTCCGAGGTCATGCAAAGAGATTCATGACAAATACCAGTAAGTTTTGAAGAACGTGTATACAGGTAGATCTGCGCTTGGAATATCGGCCCGAGAAGACCAAGGGGCAACATTCTCCAAGTATGGTCCAGAACAAACATGGCTAACAAGAGATTTATAACCTGACTGAAAATCTGCAAAAAATTCCACGATCACAGATTGGAAAGACCCCACAGTTTACTCAACAAAGTTCACCGCAACAGCGCGCAAAATGACGCGTACTGTCCAATTACAAGCATGACGCGTACACTGTCCAATTAATGCTGAAATCGGGCTGCTGATAGCCAATGACGTTCGAGAATTTTTATAGTTTTGATTAGTGTTGTAATAAACGAAGGTACCTTACACGTAATGAGCTTTACTTCCAGTAGTTAAAAGCTAATGCAGTATTTGAAATTCATTTAAAGAACAACCGAAAACAAAGCATACACGCTCCAGTTTGGTAGCCAAAACGTTCCTGTCTACTGTAGTATGGATGGAGTTGATCTTGGCGACTGCGGCTGTGGAGGATGGACGCTGGTCATGAAGATTGACGGCTCTAAGGTATTTTAAACGCCAAAGTTTCATAAAGAGCTTAATGCATCACCACTGACATCTGGGGATCTTGGTGGAAGGCCCCATAACGTTATTGTTGTGGAATATACTGTACACGTACATTTGCCGTGTTCTTTGAGTTGACTCTTCAATTTGATCTTGCAGCGGACGTTTCATTACGATTCGTCTTACTGGACTGACAAGAAAGCATATGGCATCCCTGAAGGAGAAACAGGTTTAGACCAGAAAGAAACAAAGCTACCAACCTACTGGAACACACCATTTACCAGGATCTGTCTCGGAATGAAGATTGGACACGAGACCAGGTTCATTGTTCTCGAAAAGAAGGCTAGCTCGTTGTACGCCCTAATTCAAGATGGTAAATACCGCCCCACTTCACTGGGTCGTGACGCTTGGAAGAATTTGATTGGTCCTGAGGCCTCCCTGCAGCACAATTGCAACAGAGAAGGTTTTAATGTTATAGCTGACAACTCCCTTAATGCTAAGGCACGAATTGGTTTTATTACTAATCAAGAAAATGATTGCAATAGCCCTGACTCCAGGATTGGGTTCGGCACCGGAGGGAACCAAGACGATTCCAACACGTGTGGAAACGAGGCTCTATATAGTCCAGACAACGGAGACAAACACATCAAAGCTATGGGGTACATCTTGATTCAGTGAAGTGAACTGAACTGAAACGATCATGAACTGAACTTCCAGTTAAGTTACAGACTAAAGGGGCAAAGGAAAGTGATCAGCATGATATGTTATGATCGATAGTTTATTAAATTTCAATCGTTACAGTACAAAACTAGATTATGAAATAGGAATTAGGAATTAAGGCTATACATAATAGATTAAGAAAAATAAAAAAATATATTACAAAGGATTCAAATTGACTATCGTCTTATTTACAGTGGCTATACTATGAAACAGTTCTGCATTCTGTTTGTTTTACATATAGACAATTGAAACTTATGTGCACAGGACTGCACGGAGGTACGGCAGTATACGTAATCGGCAGAGATAAAAAATAATGTAACTTGTGATCTTGGATGCTAAAATAGAGCCTTCCAAAAAAACTCTACTGTTTCAATGCTGTGGGAAACGAAATAATGTAAATGCCTTGCTATTACGTATCAGTGAGAAATATAATGAAATAATAATTCATATTTCACGTCCATTTTATAAATTCTAAGGCACTGCGGACTTTTGATGACCCTAGAACGGCCGCATAATTACGTGACCTCCAGTTTCGTCCCTGAATTGCCACTTTCCTTGGATGGGATGCTAGTTCCAGTATTGCCCCCAGCACTTTGTCAGATCATAACAGCTTGCCGGTACTCATTTATAGGAAGTGGTTACATGTAGTTTCTAACTGAACTGCAATGATTGGTCGGAAGCAAGTGACACTCTCGGTTGATTACAAACTTGACAATGACGTTTTGAATATTGAAAAGCTGACGTCTCGATGTTTAGCCCTTCGAGCCAACGAATCAACGACTGCATACAACCTTCCAGCCCTCGCTCCTCTCAGCCTTTCACCTTTCACCTACCGATCCCTTTCCTTATATATGTCACCGTTTACCTCCCCGTCGCTTTCCAGTTCTTTTGTTATTATATTAGCGTGAGACTCGTCCCGCATTATAATTTCACAGACATTTCCGGTAAGTCACTTTCTGTGACCTCCCTGTTAGAGACGTGATCTCTTTGTTAGGGAGGTCATTTGTGCTTTAAAATCTGGAGAAGTGATTAAATGATGTACATACTTATGTACTTTATTGAGCAAAAATTGAACCTCCCCAATGGGGGCTTCACGATCAGTAAATTTAAAAGAGATTCCTACATGTACAATAACAAGATTGTTAATATATGTTAAATAAGATAAAAGCCATTGCAGTTCAATAAAGGCTATAAGACAACATTGTAAATTTCCATTAAAATCACTCTAAAAAGCGTTAAAACGAAATATTTAAGATGCGAAGAGTTTAAGATTTCTTAATAAGAGCATATGTTTTAAGGTCTTTTTAAAAAATGTCACAATAGGCTATGATATTATACGTTTTTTTTGTATGTGTTTGTTTGTTAGTTTGTTTCTTTGTTTTTTCTCGTTTTACGTTATTAGTTCTTTGTTACTGTCGAGATGAATTTTATTTGGTGATGCAGGCAGCGTTCTCTTGTGCTCCCAAAGGTTGCGTGAATGTCGTAAGTGTTGTTGCGATTGCTGTTATAAGGAGTTGCTACTTGCGTCGCCGAAACAAGATCTCTCTAATTCACCCTACAAAACAAGCGATATTGTTGTCAACAAAACACTTTTATCTAAAAAAGAAGAGTCAACCTTTGGATACAAACAGGGATTTAGCCTGAGCAATATGAAGACTATGAAATAAAAACGAGACTATAACTAAATAGTTACAGTAGCTAGTTGGCGTTGCTACACTTGAAAAACTGTATATGTGCATATAAAATATCCATTATTTCTATCGGACTAGGAGGCCCTCGACAGAAAAACGGAATTGTTGACATAGTACGCCGGATAGTTCAACCTGTGCCAATATTGATAAACAAGAAAACTTTTACTATAACTCAAAAGAACAACAAAAAGTGTTTTCTATTTAATAAACTAAAATTAAATTTCTTAACATTTATTTCACCTCCGATTCCTCTCAGGGTGCTACTCGTAAGAACAATTGTTTGTATTTTAAATTACCGTACATCGGTCCTTTTTCTATCATAACGCAACGCAGAATTAAGAAATTAGTAAGCACTTTTTGCACTGACCTAGACATAAAGTTTTTTTTTTTCCCGGTTTAAAATCAGGAGTTGGTTTGGGGTCAGGGATCCTATCCCTGCGGATTTACGATCGCGAGTCATTTATAAGTTTTCATGTGCAGGCTGTAGTGCCTGTTATGTTGGTGAAACCAACAGACACTTCGCCACT